GGGTGAGATATACCCTTGCCGGGAGGAGCCTGGAGGGATATCTGACGGGGGAGAAGACTGAGCCAGCTGAGGGTTTCGCAGAGATAAATGACCTTAGGAGGGTGCAGGATGTCTGGGAGAAGCTGAGGAAGACCTATGATGGGGTGGGGAATAACCTGAGGGTATTCCAAATGGAGAAGGAGATCAGCGCTACGGTCCAGGGAGAGAGGACTGTACAGGAGTACGCCACAGAGCTGGAGCGCTTGTGGATCGATCACGATCATTTCTCACCCCTAACAAGTTGCAAGGACCCGGAGTGCAAGGAGCACGAATCCTCTTTACAAAAGAGGACCATGTTATTTCTCCAAGGCTTGGCTCCAGCGTATGAGCAGAGGACGACATTGCTACTAACCCAGACGAAGATCCCACCACTGGAGGAGGCAGTCTCGACTATAATACAGGAGGAGAGCCGTATCAGGCTACTGGCTGAGACAAGTAGACTTACAAGGGAGAAGTCTGCACCGGTGGTCTCCAACCCAGGTAACACTGGATTCAGAGGGGAGACTAGGCAGTGCTTCAACTGTGGAGATATAAGCCATCTAAAACAGATGTGCCCTAAGCCACCCAAGGAGAAGGACTGGGGTGGACGTGGTCAGGCTGGAGGCCTTGGTCGTGGCCATGGAGGTAGGCGAGGTGGAAGAGGAGGCCACCGGGCAAACTTGACGGTGGCAGAAAAGGAAGAAGAAGCTGAGATGATCTTCACGGATGAGAATTTGGCGCTCTTGGCAACACTGAGGAGGAAGCAGAGAGCAGTAGGTGATGTGTCTGAGGGGGCATCTATTACTTTCTCTGGAGGAGACTATGCCAATTACGTCCTTCGCGCACACCCAAACGAGGGAAGATCCACTGCCTGGATAATGGATTCTGGAGCATCCAGACATGTAACAGGCAATGTCAGTGAGTTCTCATCTTACACTCACTTGGCAGAAGCAGAGAGCATCCAGATCGCTGATGGTACAACACAGACTGTGGTTAGTAAGGGCACCGTTAGTTGTACAGGTTCTATAACTTTATCTAATATTCTGCATGCTCCTTCATTTCCTGTTAGCCTGTTATCCATTAGTGCCATTATCCTCCAACTAAATTATATTATTTTTTTGACATTCCCAATGTGGTCTTCCAGGAGAAGGGGCCAGGACGAAGACTTGGGACTGAGACATGACGTAGCGGGCTGTGGTACCTGAACCACAAAGGGATGGACTTAGCACTGACATCTGTAGTTGCGAGGACGGGAACAGGAGGAGCTAAAATGTGTGCATAAGATGAGTTAATGCTCTATCATCAACAAATGAGACATCCGTCATTCGGCATTTTGGGAAAAATATATCCAACTCTGTTTGAAAAAGTAAATAAGCATAAGCTTCAGTGTGATGCTTGTGAGTCTGGGAAGCTTATTAGAAGCTCCTATGTTAGTTCAGATAGTAGGAGTTCTTGTAAGTTTGAAGTAATACACTCTGATATATGGGGACTCTGTCTGGTAAATTCTATAAATGGATGCAAGTTTTTTGTTACATTTATTGATTGCTTCTCTAGAGTCGCTTGGGTGTATCTTATAAAAAATAAAAGTGATGTAGTTGGTTGTTTCAAAGATTTTCATAAGCACATCCAGACTCAGTATTGTGCTGTAGTAAAGGTGTTGAGGTCGGATAATGGGACAAAGTATACCAACAGAACACTTAGAGAGTATCTGTCAGCTCAGAGGATTCTACACCAGACTACATGCCCATACACCCCAGCTCAGAATGGGATAGTAGAGAGGAAGAACAGACATCTCCTAGAAGTTGCTAGGAGTATGATGATGGCGATGAATGTCCCAAAGATGTTGTGGGGATAAACAGTCTTGACTGTTACTCACTTAATCAACAGGATGCCTTCGAGTGTGTTGGAGTGGAAGTCACCTCGTGAGACACTGAAGGGAGATAACGGGGGGGGGGGGGGGGCTACCATTGAGGATATTTGGTTGTGTACTTTGTGAAAGACAACAGACCATCGGTTGGAAAGCTAGACCCTAGGGCTGTGAAGTGTATATTCGTGGGATATAATGGCACTCAGAAAAGGTATGTCTGTTGGAGCCCGGTGGAGAAAAGGCTGTTTGTCAGCATGGATGTGCGGTTTCGGGAGCTCGAGCCATACTACACAGTGAGGGTTACTTCACCGTTTGGCGACTTGCCCGACACTGGAGGTATAAGGCGAGAGGGGGAGAATGATGAGAGCTCAAGGGGGTTAATCCCAATTTTGATTCCGTACTCAAAGGAGAAGGAGGATGAAGGCGAATGGGAGGAGGAGATAAGGGGTGTTAGGCCTACAGCTCAGGGGGAGTTGCTTACATACAGTAGGAGGGGTAAGGAGTCAGAAGTACCTACAGTGATAGTGCCAGTGTCTAGTCCCTCGTCCAGTTCTACTCCAACTCCTGAGACACCTACACTACCCTCCACTTCAGGTAATACCATTCCTAGTCCTACCCCTCTTCCCACTCCAATGTCAGTAAGGAGGACTACTCGCAGTAATGCGGGAAATCCTCCTGAGAGATATGGTTAGAATCTAGCTCAATTTGTTTCCTATTCTCACATATCCCCTTCACATGGAGCATTCATTGCATCATTAGATTCTGTTATTATACCTAACAACTGGCACGTTGCTAAGAAGGATCCAAAGTGGAAAGCAGCTATGCATGAAGAGCTGGGGGCTCTTGAAAAGAACTACACGTGGGAATTAGCGACACTGCCAGCAGGGAAAAGATCAGTGGGATGCAAGTGGGTGTTTACCGTGAAGCAGAATCCAAAAGGAAAGGTTGAACGATACAAGACACGATTGGTGGCAAAAGGGTACAGTCAGACATACGACATTGACTGCGATGAAACTTTTGCACCAGTGACGAAGATGAGTACTGTTCGGACGCTGATTTCTCTGACAGCAAATGGTGGATGGGAACGACACCAACTGGATGTGAAAAATATGTTTCTTCATGGAGATCTAGTGGAAGAGGTGTATATGGAGATACCACCTGGATGTGGCACAGGTCAGACAGTGGATAAGGTCTGCAGGCTGAAGAAATCTCTGTATGGGCTGAAGCAGTCCCCTCGAGCATGGTTTGACAGGTTCAGAAGAGCCATGGTTGGTATGGGATACAGACAGATCAATGCCGACCATATTATATTCTTCAGAAGAAGTGGGGGTCACATCACTATGCTGGCAGTGTATGTGGATGATATGATCATCATAGGGGATGATGAGAAGGAGATTGCTCAGCTCAAGGTAAGATTGAGCAAAGAATTCGAAGTGAAGGATCTAGGTCAGTTTTGATATTTTCTTGGGATAGAGATAGCTCATGGACCTAAGTGGATTGTTCTCTCCCAGAGAAAGTATGCACTGGATCTTCTTGCAAAAACATGGATGTTAGGGTGCAAGTCTGCTGTTACACCGATTGATCAGAGTCTCAGGCTAAGTGCTGAGGCAGGAGAACCTGTTGATCGTGAGAGATATCAAAGATTGGTGGGCAGGCTAATCTACCTGAGTCACATACGTCCAGACATCTCATTTGCGGTAAGCGTGGTGAGCCGCTACATGCATGACCCGAGGAAGGGTCATATAGATACAATATACTAGATACTGAGATATCTGAAGGGAGCCTCTGGCAAAGGACTAAGATTCAGGAGGAGTGGCCAGATGAACATTGAGGGCTACTGTGACTCAGATTGGGCTAGCTGCGGAGATGATCAGAGGTCTACCTCAGGGTATTGCATATTTATAGGAGGCACCTTAGTCTCATGAAAAAGCAAGAAGCAATCTGTGGTGACAAGATCAACAGCTAAAACAGAGTACAAAGCCATGATCTTGGTGGATGCGGAGTTGATGTGGCTGAAGAGCATGCTGATAGAGCTGAACCTTGACTAAGGGGCCAAGATGAGTTTGTGGTGCGACAACAAGTCAGCTATCAGCATCGGCAATAACCCAGTTCAGCATGACAGAACTAAGCACATCGAGATTGATAGATTCTTCATCAATGAGAAGCTGAACAGTGGGCTACTGAAGTTAGGCCATGTTCCAAGTAAGGAGCAGGCTGCAGACTGCTTGATTAAAGGACTTAGCTCAGTAGATCTAACTAAAGGGTGTAATAAGATGTGCTTAATAGATATCTTTCGCCCATCTTGAGGAGGAGTGTTGAGAAGTTAATGTAATTGAAGGATATTAGAGGGGTTTTATGTAAATGTGTGTGTAAGGCTATATAAGCCAAGCTATTCTATCAATAGAAGATACCTTTTTAGCCCTATTCTTTCAACTATTTTGCTTTCTCGTAAATCTGGTTATAGGGTAATTTGTGTAATTTCCCAACAAAATTATGAATGGTTCTCGAGTTCATCATTCTTCAAAGTGGCGGGACTGGACTTAGTTATGGCTGCATCTGACTTTGTTTGTCGGATAAGAAAAATTTTGGATATCTTTACGTGATCTAACAGTTTATTCTTTTAAAAGTGATCTTTACTAATGTTTTTGACGATAGATTTCAACTTATAAACGATGCATTAATCGAGAGCATATAGCATGTTGCCGGCATTTTTATCTAAAAGTAACAGTTTTGGTATTTTTTTGTGAGACCTCTAACAGTTTGGGATAGTTTTGCGAAATTACCCTTTCTTAAACAAAGCTGAAAATCTATTTATATTGCCTGTGTGTATTTAGATCTCTTTAAATTTATAGACATGCAGATAAAGTGATAGGGTTGAAAGTTTCTTTCTTATTATATAAACAACTTCTTGTTTTCCTGTCTCATCTAGTACATAACATTTTCTTTTCTCCTTTCATTCATTCACCTTTTTGGTCTTTGCAACTGTAACATTATTCTCAGGCAGGTAGAGATGGACCGTCCTTCGAAACCTTACACTGTTTTCCCCTTACTTTCATCACTTTAGAAATTTATATGTGCTGTTTCTAATTCTTTCGTATTTGAATATTTCTTTAAGATTCAGTCAAGAAGATGAAGAAGAGCATCAGCAAGTTTTGCTTCCAAGGAGAAAGACGATAAATGGTACGTAATGATGCAGTGTATTGTGTTGTTTATTGATGTATTATGCAGAAATTTCTGCTAATTCTTCTCATTGCAGAACCTCCAGGTTCAGTACCAGATTGGACTCAGGAGCTTGAATCTGGGTTATCAAATCAGGATAATTCCGTCCAAGCTTCTTCCAGCAGACACTGGCGCTTAGTTAGATTGCAGAATGGCAAGTTATCTTCTCTTGTTATATTTATTACCTGTTGAAAAATTCTGTTTTCTTAAATGAATAGCTTGCATCTGTTTAGAGCATTATAGTCTCCAAGGCACCAAGGCCCATCTAATCTTTCCTTCATCTTGAAAGGTGCAATACTAAGTTTTATGTGCATGAACTACAGGTTTACGATTTTTTGAAGAACTTCTAGAAGCTGACCTCCTTGTATGTAGTAAGATTCCAGTTAATGTTTTTGCATTAAAATATAGGGTTTTTTTAGATACTAGTCCCTTAAATCTTCAATAATTGCATATTAGACACTCAAATCTTGGAAATTACATATTAGTCCCTCAAATCCTATAGGGTCTTGCCCTCAAATCCTATAGGGTCTTGCAAAATGGTCCCTCTGTTTGTATTTCAGTTAAAAACCTGGGGTTGGGTTAACTCCTAGCCTAATATCTGTCATCACCAAACTACTACTCTTTCTTATGTTTCAAATATTTGTGAAGCTCAACTTTTGGTTAGGATTTTTTTCTAACCATTGGAGAAGAACTCAAATGAGTTTAAGTTTTTTAAGCGGGTATTGGGTTTAAACCTATTAAGAAATGGGTTTGGGAACATAATAGAGGGATAAAATGGTCACTTTGCCTGCAATCGCTAGATTTAACTGAATATTCTCGTCAAATCTAACGTAATTTAACTTGAAGGACCATTTCACAAGACCCTTTAGTATTTGAGGGACTAATATGCAATTTGCAAGATTTGAGGGACTAGTATGCAATTATTGACTATTTAAGGGGCTAATATCTAAAAAATCCAAAAATATAAAATTGACTGGTTTAGTCTGAGATTGAAACTCCAGATTGGTCAATTTATGTTGTGTTAAGTGCAGCCATCTAGCTGCAGTAAAGCAATGAAAGCTGTCGGCGTAATAGAGGCCACATCCGAAGCGATATTTGAACTCATAATAAGCATGGATTGCAGCACTCGATTTGAGTAAGTTTACCTTTGCTCTCTGTTTTTTTGCAAACTAATTTCCTAAATCTGCTTTATATGTTCTTTGTAGGTGGGATTGCTGCTTTCAGTATGGTAGCTTAGTCGAGGAGGTTGATGGACATACAGCTGTTCTCTATCATAGGTTACATCTGGACTGGTTGCCAAAGTAATTTCTGCTTCCTAGCCTGTTGCACAACAGTTCAATTTCATGATATAAGAATTTGGTTTTAGAAATCCTGGATTGCTGACAAACTAGAACTAATCAAGCGTTAAGCAAATAATAGACAGTACAACTACATGTAAGCAGGCCATATACAAAGGAAAAATTGTCTCATTAGATATCCTAGAAGAATATTTTCTACCATTTCTATTAATCACATAAAAAATAATAACGGGATTACTTACGTGGTTAGCTACAAAGTGTTACTAGGCCTTACTTCCTCTGGAAAAAGAAGTTTTTGTTTTCCTGTCCTGGGTCTACAAGCTCAAGAACGACCCTGTACATTCCTTCAGCTCTATTTCTCTGATAAAATTAATTACATCATGTTTATCTTCTATAAGAAATTATCTCAGAGGAATTCCAGGAAAGAATTGACCAAGATATTACGGTCAGTTGACAATCTTATGCCGATCCTCTACAAGTGCTCCCTATTACAAATGTTTCTTGGGAAGGGGACTATGGGAAAGAAAGGAGCTTAGGATAGAACCTAAAATGGCATCGACAGGTTGGTTGAGAAAATAGTACATTTTGAATTTATAACCTAGCATAATGCAATTTAAAGATTTACATTTGTTCATGTAGATTGCGAAATCAGGATATGCTTTTACTAAGTGATATCTCTATCCGTGTATATGGACACAAACATGGTTTTAATATATAATACTCCTGCTTATATGGAGGATTGATTTATTTAATTATTTCCCATATTTGTATGTTTCATTACATGTTTCTTCAGATGTTATCATCATGCTCAGCATATTCTTCTTTTTTGCCCCCCTTTCAATTTAAAGAATGCAAAATATCTGACTATTTACTTATTGCAGGTTTGCATGGCCACGAGATCTTTGTTATGTGCGTTACTGGCGGTATAATGATGATGGAAGCTATGGTGAGCTTTCCATTTGATACCCTCCACTGTTCTGTCACTTTATGTAATGCTTGTTCTTGGACATGTTCCATTGTGCAGTTATATTATTTCGGTCTAGGGAGCATACGGACTGTGGTCCACAGCCAGGATTTGTCAGAGCTCACATAGAAAGTACATCTATCTATTTGCTCGGACTAAATTAAAGATCTTATAATTTACTTTTCAAAGTTTTTTCAGTTCTCTAATGAAGGTTGATGTCATTCAGGTGGTGGGTTCAAAATATCTCCTCTCAGATCTCGAAATGGGAGACCTCGAACTCAAGTACAACACCTTATGCAGATTGATATGAAGGGATGGATATCTTTTTTTTCCCCATCATTTCAGCAATATTCTTTAATTCGAATGTTGAATAATGTTGCTGGTAATGCTTCCTATTACTAATGTAATAATGTTTCTTGGTACACTAATTTTTTTCGATAATATATGACTTACTAATTAACTTCCATTTTAGCTTATTAAGTATGTAAACTTTGTCAAAATTCTGTCTTTAACAGGGCTGCGTGACTGGTTTTCCCAAACAGACGAAACTCACAGAATTACAAGAATTCCTGTCATGTCGAACATGACCTCAGATTCTCTTTCTCTCGAGAAAGACCAAATGGCTGAAGAATCAGATATGCCCCCTACTCCATCATTAGATCAGATTCGTTCTTCCAGCAAACATTCAGTTATGCTGGATGAGGAATCTGATGAGGATGAAGATCAATTTCAGAATGAATTAGAGGTGTATAGACTGCTATACTTGTTGACATATCCCTCATTTACATTATTCTGAGTTTTGAAAATGTTCCAATTTACAGGAATACCCAGTCAAGCCCGAAACAGATATTAAACAGACAGGTCTCTTCACTTTCCTGCTTCAGGGATGAAATATGATTGAATATACTGTAGCATCTAATTTTAGTTTGTTGTATTATTTTGAAACTACAGCTTCTGATCAAGAGCTATCAGATCAAATTGATCTATCTTGTATTTCGGGTAACTTACGATGGGATGATGGGGATAATGGTCGTGACTGTTGGAAAACATCAGATGGAAACAACTTTAAAGTCCGTAGTAAGAATTTTATGTCTGACAAAAGTAAGGTCAGTGGTGCTTTCTGGAATGAATCCTGCATTTCCATCCTTTTCAAACTCGTTCAATGCAAGTTCTATACCTTCTAATTTTTTGTTTATGATCCAATTTTGTGTAATAGGTTCCTGCTGGGAAACCTCTTATGAAGCTTGTCGCAGTTGACTGGTTGAAGGACACAAAACGAATAGATCATGTCGGCAGACGACATGGCTGTGCTGCTCAAGTAAGTTATATCAGTAATTTGATAAGCTTATGTTATTTGTCTTTTATATGACTGTGAGAAAGAATAGGGTGCGTTTACTTGTATAAGCTTTGTATTTCCTCAAATACTGAATGATATTTGGGTTACATTTACACCCTTTCAAGTTGATGTTCTAGCAATGTATAATTCACTGATGGTTTTGTTTTGCTGTTTATCCTGATAGGTTCTACACACATGACTTCAATATCATTTGATACAACTTTCTAAATAGAACTTTGCATTGTTCATATTTTACAGAAAGATCTCATAAATGCCACCAAAAGAGGGATATTTAACTACTATGGGGACAATATTTGCTTAAATTCTTATTTAAACATGGAGGACTTCTGTTTCACTGTTTACCTTAATAAATAGGCATATCTAAAATTTCAGTAACAACATATGGAGGTTTATGATTTCGGAAGCAGTGGACATACGCACTAGACATGATAAATTTAATCTCTTGTGATGTATGATGGATACTTGTATACATATAGGTAGAGTAATATTGAATAAGATCAATTTCTGACAACTACAAAAAATTCAAAAATGTGCAACTCTCAGTGGCGAGTATGTAGTTTCTTTAAGAATGAGCATATCACTTTGAAAGGTCGAACATCCTTGATGCCTACAATGTTGATCTCTTGATTTAACTAAACCACACCAAGTTATGATTCACATAACTGACATCTCTTACAAGACACATTGACAGGAGAGCTATGCAGAAGAGCCAAATGATGAATCATGAACTATACACCTTTATTCATAAGAAAGATGTAAAAGAATACAATTCCTCTTCGGGTACATAACTAATTGATTAATTTCTCCCTTGGTACTAGAAACAAGAAAACTGTTAGTGTGTACCTATATTGTAGGAGATTTTCAATTGAACTATTAATTACAAACCAAAATCTTACTTTTAAATTCATGTATTTTGTTTTAGACTTATTTCCCTGTTGTGAGGCTATTTTATCTATGTTGTTGAACAAACTCACTCTAAAATATGGTCTTATTCACTGATGCAGGTTGCTTCTGAGAAAGGGCTGTCTTCTTTGATTATAAATCTTCAAGTAAGTATGCAGGTTTATTTCTCCTCATAATTTGACATTTGTTCATTAGCTTTTCTTTTAGTCAAACAAATCTTCAAAATCTTATGTACTCACTATGAAATATTTCTCTGCACATTGGTAAACATAGCATTTCTTTTTGGGAGAAACTTTTATCGTTCAAATCAAAGGTTCTCATACCTCACAGTTTTCTGCAAATTGGTGAGAAAACATAGAACTAACATAATTTTTTCATTGATTTAATCCGTTCATTCATAGAGCTTTTATGAAATATGAAGCCAATGGTTTAAAAACTTAATCGCCAAATGGGGAAGCATCTATGGTGTTTTGTTCCAGAGTTCAGGCGATAGTTCATTCAGTTGTTTTTGGTTTTCAACGAAATGAAAGTGTAAATTGGCATGTCAACGTATAGCCTTCGTTTCAGGTCAAACCCAATCTGATTAAGCTAATTTAAAATGTCCGTCAATATTTATATCTAATAGTAACTATTCAAAACCAGATACAAGATAAAACATCAAGATCCACACTACTGCTAGGGATATTCTGCAAGTAATGAGTAAAAATGTAAAAACACCAACAATATGTTTTCTCTGGGATATTGCTTGCAAATTCTTAATGTTGTAAGTTACTGAATCTCTCTTGCAAACCTACCATCCCATACTACATTTTCCTTTTCCATAGTTTTTTTAATATATATAGGGAATGATGGGTATGAGGTGGCAGCTCATTTTGCTAAATAACCTACCAAAATATGAGTGGTGAGATTCACACCTTTTGATGTGACTAGCAAGTTGAGCCTCACCACGTGGCTATCTCTTGGTAGCTCATTTAACAAAATGAGCCACCACCTTATATGCATTATTTCCTTTAATATATCACACATTAAATACTTATTCTTGCAGGTTCCCGGATCAACCTTTTACAGTTTGGTGTTTTACTTTATGATAAAAACATTGAAACCTGGATCACTTCTGCAACGTTTCTTTGATGGTGATGATGAGTTTCGAAGTAGTAGGTTCAAGCTCATTCCGGCAGTTCCTAAGGTCTTTGTCTTCCTGTGAATTATTTGTCCAATCTGGCTGTAGTTTTTACTGCACCATGTCACTCTCCTGACTTTAATCTAATTGCGCAGGGCTCCTGGATCGTGCGCCAAAGTGTAGGAAACAGTGCCTGTCTGCTGGCCAAAGCCGTAGATTGCACCTTCATTCGTGAACCAAAGTACTTGGAAGTAAGAAATATCGTAGCATCATCCTACACAAAGAAATCTCATATAAGAAACCATACATGAATTCAAGGCTTAATTTCACGGACCCTTGTAGTATAGCTGTTTTGTACTTATGACCCCAATTGTTCCTTTGTTGCAGATAGACCTGGATTAAATATTTTGTCTGAGAACTCACTAATTTACCCTGGGGCATTATCTGCCAAAATTTCACCCAGGGTAAAAGAATAAAAAAAAAATTAACCCAAGGGCTCTATCCCCAACAATTGAACCACGGGGGTAGAAAGTTACAAAAAAACAATACTACATGGGATCTATATGCAATTAGCCCCATCTTCTTAATGTTTGCAAAAGTTTAAGGCAACTTAATTTCATGCAGATAGATGTTGATATCGGTTCTTCCACAGTGGCAAAAGGAGTTTTAGGACTTGTCTTGGGTGTAGTCACTACGCTGGTTGTTGACATGGCTTTTCTGGTACAGGTATTCTTTATGATTTGCTCAGTTCGATTACACATAAATTTTCCAGGTTGAGAATCTGCCTACGTTTAAGATTATGCTTCTTTGAGGCTTCAAGTTCGCAAAAGTTTTATAGAGTTTTTGCTTCGTGCTAGCACTATAAAATCTTGATAGCACCACGGCATGATGTTTGCATACACTTTCATTGATCTTGATAGCTCTCCAGGGTAAGTATTAAAATGTTGAAATCATCGCTGTGTTTGCAGGGAAACACCGCTGAAGAGCTCCCAGAGCAGATTATTGGTTCTGTCCGTATTTCACATCTTGAGCTCGCATCTGCAGTAGCTTCAGGACTTGATATTAATCCTTTAGACGAATGAAA